AATATGACTGTTAGTGTCCACTTCGATCGCAAAGCAAATGTCACCTGCCCTAGAAATAAACGGCGTTCACTGTTTAACATCCCTATTGAGTTATTAGCCCCTCATATTCCATATTCATATTTTCTTCTCTCGTTCATTTCCATTTAAAACCAAGCGGATATTGGTCTCTAAAAGTTGAAACCGAAGCACATGAATATAACTGAACCAGCAATGCCTGTGCTGCGAAACAAACCCATGAACAAATCTACCACTCAATGTTAAGACTTGTGCTTTTTAATCAATCTCTTAAAAATGGGAGCTGGTGAAGAAAAGTGAAAACGCACGGACATGTAATCGTTGGTGAACGAATAGGGACCATTATGGGAGGATGGAACTAAAGCGGTGGATATTAAGACGAAGATATTGTTTTCGAATACGTCAGACACGGTGGTGGTTGTGGAGCTAATTGTAGGAGAAAAATAAATACCAAAACCGCTAGGAATAATAGTCCAAATTGTTGGGTTTCAATGGAAGGAGGAATTTCATCAGAGGACCCTTCCCGTGATTTAATTTTAAATCAGGACTGATTAATAAAATTTAAAAATACACAGCATGATCAAGGGACTGAATTTAAATTATGTTTTATTACTGAATGATCAAAATGTCCTTCATTTTTTAAAACATAAAATGGACTTGATTTAAACTCTAACTCAACTTGTCATGTAACTCATTTGTACTTATTATTAATTTACTGATAGAACTTGTTAACAATAATTGTATATATTTAATATTATTGACTTGTTACCACGTGAAATCGATACGTTAACATCTTAACATAATTTATTTTTAGTAATTCGAGCTTGTAAGCCCACTTGAAAAATTTGTTAACGGTATCTTATACGTATTCAATTTTACTGACTATCTAAATTATGAAATGTAATTCTTAAAACCCTAATTTGTTAAAAATAAAGGATAGTTTGATAATTTTTTATTAAATATATTTTCAATTCAATCTCGTACTATGATGTATTTTCAAATTCCAATGATTTTGATTCAAAATTAATTTCCTATAGAGGTCTTTTTCTAAAATTAAGTCCAATCTCACACTGAAATATATAATGAACGGTTATTATGTTATTAATGTATGAACCTTGTTATGTTATATATAAATATTATGTTATTCATACATTTGAAGAACTTGTACATTATTGTTTAACTAATCACATAGATTATGCATAATAAAAGAATATTGTGTTGTTAACGTGTGGACCTTGCTATGTTATATACAAACGTTTTGTAGTATATACTCATGGGAAAACTTGTACATTCCAAATGAGGGGCAAAATAGTCTTTTTACTAAAAAACATATTTGGATACACGATATTTGAGCTTGCAGAATCAATTTAGAATAAATTGGGCTTTAGGTGACTTTTTTTTTTATTTGAGAGTGTTAGGTGCCATTCTTTCTTGTTAAAAATAAAAAATTATTTTGATAATTTTCTAGTAAGACATGTTTCCATGTCAATCCGGCAATATAGTTTCAAATTCTCTTAATTTTGATTTAACATTAAAGTCATATAGAATGCCATCTCGCAAGAAGGCAGTTAGGAAAGCAGAAAGAAACAAAAAGCTCTGCAGAATTGATGGATTAGCTAGAAAGAAAAAGAAGGGCTTAGGGGGGGGGGGCTCTATAATAAAACCAGGACCAGTACCGTTGTCTTGAATTTTATATACGGGCTCTTCCAATAACATGGGATTCTGGTCAAGGTGTGGAACCCAGTGTTCCCCTTCTCGTGTGTTCCAGTTAGGTGAAAGGTCCTTGTCCGATCCTTCCAATCCTGGAAGCTTAGCAAGTTCGCAAGCCCATTATTCATTCATTTGTTTATGTTTAATCTCAAGCTCTGAACACAATGTGCACCCACATTAATTAGTTACTAAAAGCAGTGATAGTGTTGCGGATAAGGTTCATTTCTGGACATTATGCTTCCTGCTGTTGTTGGAAAGAAACCTATCCAAAACTCAACTTTGACGGTTCTAATGCGGAATTATTCAGAATTTGGGGAAGCCACGAGTAAAGGCAAATTTCATGATATGGGATTGCAACATCCAACAGTTATAACATGATTCCTTTTTTTCTTTTAGTTTCTGTCTTGTAATAGAAAGAACCAAACGTGCAAGAATATGGCAATTAAGTGGTGTGCATTTTGGGCCAGGATATATACAGACACACACCCACCAAAAACCAAAAAAAAAAAAAGAGGAACAGAAAAGAAAAGAAAAGGCTTCCATTTTCGTTGCAGGTGGGGATAGAATAGAGACATGGCGAGAGAAGCAAAAGGAGGAGAGCCGTCTAAAGGGAGGAAAACGAGCAATGATATGAAGAAATTCAACGGTACACTATTTGGAAGGTAGGGCTTGTTCATGTGGGACAAGAAAGTGTGTGAATAGGAAAAAGATAAATTTTTTTTTTTTTTTTGGGATAATAGAAAAGGATAAAAAGTTAGGAGCGTTTTTGAGTCCTGGTGCTTTGTTCTGTTCGGACTCTGGAATGAAGGGTCTTATTCTGATGCCTATTTATTGATATAATTAGTTAGGCTGCCTCTGTTTTTAACCCTTTGTGCCTCCTGGGACCATGTCCCTCGCCCACCAATTATTCAATCTCTTTCGTTTTCATTTGATAATCCATCCAGATATTCTATATTTATTAATAATAATATATTTCTGGTGGTTCTGTTGTTTTTCTTCTACCCTTGACAATGACTGGTAACTGTGAAGCGCCTTGTTGATCTGGTTGTTTATGTGGCTATCATTACCCCGCTCTTCATTGTTACTGCCACTGAGGTTGACGAAGTCATCTCCATTTCCCACTTTCAAATAAATAAAGGCCTCTCTCTTTTGCTGTTTTATAAGTACAAGACTTGGTCATCACTCATCATCATCAATGTTCCTTACCTAATCCCTTGTTTTTCTCTCTTAATCTCATTGCTGCCGAAAAACCATCACAGTGGAAATTCCGCGTTAGTAAATTTTAAATATTCAAGACACACCACGTTAACTTTCAATCCTGTAATAATATGTGCATGATTTCAAAGGGTGGTACTTGGCACATTTATCATAAGCTCGTCAAGAATTAGGCAAAAATGCAAATGTATGATGTTGGCATAGAGGCTAAAGGGGGATTTGACGAATTAACTTCCAAACATAAACAGTGCCTCCATTTAAGAAATTGACCTTGAGGGAAAAAAAAGGGTGGTTGCAAGGGAAACCAGGGACATCCCATGCAATTCAAAGTTTGATGATGGTTGCCCTGTGAATGAACTCAGCAAAGTAAGATTCAAACAAGTTGACCCCTCACTGTAACATAACTATCTGTGGGAGCGTCCTTTGAAAAATTAAGGATTCGCCATGATTTGTCAAACAGGCCGAGGAGACTTTTCCTGTGAACAGCTTTTGTTTTCCTTCTGCGTGGAAGGGAGAGGATAAAAGTTTCGCTTATAATATACGGAACCTGACTAAATAAATAAATAAAAGGGCAAGATATTTTTGGCATAAGGAAAGATGGACGAAAAGAAAACCATGGGCTGCGAGAAATCCTGGTGGTTTCAAAATGAGGAGTCGCACTCCAAAAAAACAAACAAACAGTGTGGAAGCTGAATGAAAATGCAAGTTGAATGAAAGTGGGGCGTTTCCTCCTGATTTTTGTAAAGAAAGAAAGAGGCTTTCAACGTCAAACTTGGTGGAATCGCAAGGCGCGCGCGCGCTTGCGTATAAACCCACTCCGGTACTTTTTATGGAATAGAGAGATGAATTTTTTTATTTTTTTATTTTATTAAATGTTGGTGAGAGAAATAATTTTATTAAAATATACTTTTTTATTAAAAAAATATAAAACATTTTTAATCGAATCTTACTTTTTAATAAAGTAGTTACTTACTCTTAAACTAACTCTATCTTTTCATATTTACTCCTATTAAACATCCTATAATAAATATAAAACCATTCACTAATAGGGATAATTTAAAAAAAAGGCAATGATTACACTTTAAAATGCTAAAAATATTTTATATTTTTAAACATCTAACTTCTCAAAAAATGTTTTATATTTTTAAACAGACAAAATATATATATTTAATGAAAATAAAATTTAAAATTCATTAAATTTAATTGTTTTTAATTTTAATATAACATGTTAAAAATAACACACACAAAAAAATGAGCAGGTATATATAAGCCGTTCTGTGTAGAATCCAAAGAGCTTCCCAATGGCTTAAACCCAATTATTATAATAATATTGCAGTTGCCATCAGGCACACCAACACACAAACTATATGTATGAATTGAGTGGCAATTAACTTTGCTTACTTTTCTCCTCCTTGTTCTTGTTTCCCAACTTCCAAGGATTTAAAAAAATTAAAAAGGTAAGAGAGGAGCAATCATTAAAGAAATGAAGCAACTTGGCGGAAGTGAAGCTGGGGATGAGCTGAATCGCAACCCTGATTTTTAAATAATTTAGATTTAAAATTTGCCAACCGTGTAATTAATTACTGCTGCTGCTGCTTCTTGTTTCCCTTGTTTGTGGGCCCATGAGTCAACGACGCTGGGAGAAAAATCAAACTAGAAAACGAAGTTGGTGGGACAAAAAAAAAAAAAACCAAGTTTGAAATGAATCACGCCCCTCACAGTTTTTAAATAACTCTATGTATCATTGTATTGTACCCAAAAATAAGTTATGGACTGAATTGATTAATATTAACAGGTTATCACTTAATTAAAACATCATCATTTAAATGAGTCGGATGTGATTATTAGATAAGATCTGTTCATTCTCTCATTTATTTAACTAAGATTTTTTTAATTTAATTATGTATTCGACTTATTACTGAAATTTAAACATGCATTTTTTGAATTATAACAAGTGATGATACTTCCATATCCACAGCATCCTGAAATATCATCTCATTAAAAAATTCGGATGAGAAAATCCAATGCAAAGAAGGCCCATAAGTGGCACAGCATCCAAAAACGGAGCCCATTTGTTGGGGACTTCGAGTAGATGCTAGGCGGCCCACGTGTCAGCTCCGCGAAACCAAGAACGAACACACAGCCTAATCGGCACTATGAATCTGGCGGTAGGAGCTCCCAGGTCACTGATCGCTCCGTTTTCGCGACTCAACCCACTTAACCGATCCCCCATCTCTCCAGCAACGTCGATTCGGTCGTCTTCACCAACCATGGAGCAGCACCAGCCTCCGAATCGAGTCGTCGTGTGCGGCGGCGGAGTTATAGGGGTGTGCACGGCTTACTTTCTGGCCAAGAAGGGCGCCGCCGTCACTCTCGTCGAGAAGTCCGACGTCGCCTGCGCTGCTTCTGGAAAAGCCGGTGGATTTCTCGCCCTCGATTGGTGCGACGGAGGACCCCTGGCTTCTCTCGCTCGGGCCAGTTTTCATCTCCATTGTTCCCTCTCTCAAGAGCTGAATGGTCCCCAATCCTACGGCTACAGACCTCTCACAGCTCTCAGCGTTTCTTTCACCGAATCAGATAATCCTACCTACGGCTCCAGATCCTCCCGCGGCTCCATCCTACCACCATGGGTCGATGGACCGGGTGGTTGGTCCAGAACAATTGGGACCCCAGAAACTACGGCTCAAGTTCATCCGCAGCTCTTTACTCGCACACTAATCAGCAAGGCCGTGGAAAATCATGGGGTAGACGTGGTGATCGGGAAATTGGAGCGCGTGAAGTTAGATGGAGGTATAACTGGAGGGGTGGTGCTTGAAGGTGGACGGGTTATTGAGGGGGACGCTGTTGTGCTGGCTCTCGGTCCTTGGTCTGCTAATTTGGAAATGTTGTCATCGCTGTTTAGAGTGTATGGGCTTAAGGCACATAGCATTGTTTTAAAGCCTAAAGAAGCTAGTGCTTTAACCCCCCACGCTCTGTTCCTCAGATACCATCCCTCTCATGGAGGAAAGCCCATCGACCCTGAAGTTTACCCTCGCCCCACAGGTATGCCATTGCCGAACTTTACGTACGCTTATCTTTGATCACAAGTCGTAACAGTTATAGCAGTAGGGTTGGAAAATCAGAGAGGAAAGATGGTTGATAGCAAAATGGCATGAGTTGACAGGGGAGGTGTATCTGTGTGGGATGTCGTCGGAGGAAGAGGTGCCGGATGATGCAGAGGAGGTGAGGGGCAACTCGGAAGCGATTGGAATGCTGAAGAGAGTGGCTTGGACAGTGTCAAGCCATTTGGGAGGAGAGGCAGAGGTGAAGGCAGAGCAAGCTTGCTTCTTGCCTTGCACTGATGATGGCGTGCCCGTCATCGGAGAAATGCCAGGTATGAAGGGTTGTTATGTTGCCACGGGGCATAGTTGCTGGGGCATTCTAAATGGACCGGCCACCGGAGCTGCCATGGCTGAACTTCTAATTGACGGCCATTCTTCCATTGTTGATCTTCAAAGCTTTGCTCCCGCCAGATTTGTGGGTCGTCGATAGGTTCGCGCTTTGTAAATCACAGTAGCACAGAGGATTAATCTAAGGTGTTTGGATAATTATTTGGTAAACCATGATTTGCCCCTGCATAATCGATTATTCAGGCAAACCAAGGGCATGTTTGGATTTCAATTAGAAAAAATTGATTATGAAAAAAATTGATTTTTAGAGTGTAATGATGTTTGGATAAGTTTTCAGAAAAAAATTATGATAAAATTGATGATGTTTGAATAATTTTTTTAAAATTAATTTTAAATGGGTAATTATTATTTTGAGTGGGTAATTCTAATAATATTCAGAATTAATTTTTTAAAATAAAATAAATTTAATTTATTCAGATGGAGTTTTGAAAATTAAATGAAGTTTGAAAAAATTAAAGTGTTTAAAATTTTTTAAAATTATAATTTTGAACCTAAAATTAATTTCACAAGGTATCTAAACAGGCACTCAAAGCACATTGTGATATAGTATACGGCACCATACGTCGACTTGCCAATATAGATCCGATCAAACGATTAACGCCGCGAAGATCTGTAAGATTCCTGTAAGGATTATGCATACCAAAGCCGAACACAGACGATTTATTCATCCTTAATTGATTATATAGCTACAAATTAATTTTTTAATGAAGCTGCCTCATAGAGCTTTTTAAAATTGATTTTTATCAGTAATATGTAAAAAAAATCTTACCTATCTATATCACTCTCTCTCGTATTCTCGTTTTCCTTTTTTGGACCAACATCACATTCTTGTTTTCACCTCACATGTCTTGCTATCTCGTGCGCTTTGTGTCTGTGCATTCTCAGATTTGCCACCGTCCTCCTACCGATGAGCTGTCTCTAACTATAACCCATGGCAACAATCTTCCGTGTGCTCTCTCCCGCGTGCTCACTTTGGTGTGTGCTCGTCTTTCAAGTTTTCAAACACATGAAGCATAGAAGAAGAGTGGAGGACTGTCAAGACATTGTGAAGGAGAATAGAGTGTTCGTGCTATTGTCAAATAGTCATGAACTTGTCGGCGATGAGGTCCAAAGATATGGGTCGGCGGTAAGGAATTAGAGGAGATCATGTTGATGAAAAGAAGGAAGAAAATTAGATAAAACCAATACTCTATTTTACGCAAGGAGAAAAAATTGGTAAAACTATAAGAAATGACATAAGAGAGAATTATTAAAAAGGCACAAAGTTTTCATGTTATAACTTAAAAGACTGGGCATTTTTGGTAATTTTTCAACAATTAAATGAAAATAAAAAAATATCAATAGGCAAGAAAAAACATTTAATTAAATTTAAAGTCATCATATTTTTTTTTCCTCCAAAATTTCGGTCCTATGAATTTTAATCGAATGGTAACCCCAACTTTTGAATAAATGATGACATTTTTCCTGCATCTCACTCCAATTAGATATTAGCTTATATATTATCATTTCGTTAGTTATTGTAAAATTGATGTTTGGTATTTAAAAATTATATCTTTCTCTTTTATTAAATTTATTTTAACTAAGATATAATCCCTCCGTTCAAAAATGTAAGACATTTTTAACCGAATCTCACCCTTAATAAAGTAGTTACCTACTTTCAAACTAATCCTATCTTTTTATATTTACCCTTATTAAACACTCTACAATAAATACAAAATCATTCATCAATACGGGTAGTTTTAAAAAAACTACAATGATTACACCTTGAAAGACTAAAAATGTGTTATATTTTTTAACATCCAACTCTTCAAAAAATATCTTATATTTTTTAACAGATGGAGTATTGGGTTATTTATTTGTGTAAATTGAAATGTTAATATTTATATAATTTAAATTTTTTAATTAATCATATGTGTAATTTAAATAATATATTTTACTTCTTAAATAAAATGTAACAACTTTAATAATATTAGATACAAATTTATCAATAATTTAATTTTGAAAGGCAATATCCTTTATGATAATTTACACAACTAGAATTAATTCTGAATAAATTATCTAAATATTTTTAATTCTGTTAAAATTAATTCTAAAAAGATAGTATCCAAATAGATTATATTATAACATAATCAATTATAATTAACATTTATTATTTAATTACTTATTTTTATAATCTATTATACTCAATTAAAATTCAAACGAGCACTAAAACCTTGAGCATTAACGCCCTATTAGGTACGTGGTATTTGAGGGCATGGATTGGGATTGGGTTTGGGCAATAGCCCTTTTGACATATTTGGTATAAAGCATTCCACAATTTCCAGGATTGCTTAGTACTATTCAGGTGGAAATACTCAAACCCACCACCCTCTGATATTGCAGAATCTATTCTAGGATTGAAATTTTCTTGATTGAAATGCCCTCATATAAACATTGAGATTCTCTCCTCTATCGATGACCTTCGACCCTCCACCTTGCTTCTTCTCCCTCGACGACTCCGACCCTCCACCTTCCTTCTCCTATTTTGACAACCTCCGGCCTCTATTTTCCTTCACACTCGTCGACAACCTCTGCCGATGTCGTCTTCCTTGTGCCATCCTTACATTGTCCTTGCGTCTCATATCTGTGTGATGAATCTTCTGCTGTGAGAAGTTTTAAGAGTGATTGAGAGGGTGAGGCAAGAGGTGATGAGTTATCTCATATGGGTATCCGAGTCTTTTCCCTACTTTTTAATCTTAGTCTAAGTTTTTTTTAATGCCATCGCATGCCAAACATGATTTTAAAATTTATTTCCACCAGCTATCTCAATCCCAATCCTAATCAAATTTTCAATACTACAAAATTTAATGCTTTATACCAAACAAGGCTTAAATGGATAGATTGTTACTACACTTGAAGGTTTTAACAATATTTTCATTCTTGCCTAAAGGTGTGTTTAGTTTGAAGTTTTTGCAATGGAGTTCCTTTGTTTGGTTAGTGTCTAATAAAGGAAAGGAAGGAAGCCCCTTGTTTGATTAAAAAATTAGAGTCCTCTCCCCTCCCCTACTAGCCCTCCCTTTTGATTTGGGGTTTTTTTGGGAGGGAGAAGAGAGAGAAAATAATTAAAATTAATTTAAAAATTTATTTTAAAAATCTTATATTATTTTTTATATTACAAAATTATGTATTATTTCTTCCTCTCTCTCATGATAAAATAAATTTTATCACTTTACAAAAATTAATGTATAATTTTTTAATGTTAATGCATAAAATTTTTATATTTTTCATTAGACTCGTTGATAAAACATAATATTAATATATTTGTTCATCAATTTTATTTATTAATGTAAGTTCATATTTTTAAAATAAAAACTTAATAAATTATAATATAACAGTTCTTTCCAAAGTAAACAAGAAAAATTAAGTTAAATTTAACAAGAATAAAACTATTATCTTATTTTTTATTCCTCTTCCCTACCTTTTCAAATCAAATAGATAATTATTAAAATCATTCACCTTCCTTTTACCCCTCCTTTTCTTTCTTTTCTTTTGAACCAAATGTACCGTAAGGCTCTAGTTAGACATCTAACTCCAAGTGTGAACCCTAGACAATCTTTTAGTGCCAGAAATATTTTCCAACTCCAAATCAAAATTATATGGTTTGCTCTGTCACTTTACGAGGCCACAAAATAATTGGTCTTGGTTTTATATTAAAGAAAGAGATAATAATTCATCAAATTAATCTAAATTTCATATCTTAGAAAAATTGGAGCTGGAAAGAAATTGATACCTGCATTTTGGGCCCTTGATTTGCATGATCCTTTAGGTACTGAGCAATCCATTCAGGTTCACTTGAATCTGTCCGCAAATAGAATTACGGTTGATGGAAATATTCCAAGTTTACAAGATACATGGAATAAAAAAAAATAGAGCAGTTTCTTAAGGTTAAGAGGGAAAAAAAAGAAAGAAAGAAAATTGGTGGTGTAATGAATTTGAAAAATGTAAATACCTTCTTTGTCAAAAATGAATTTGAAAATTGAGACCAAAGTGGAGAGGATTGTCGGAGGTTTTGGTTCTAGCCTTAGCCACAGAATCGGAGAATAGATCATCATGAGTACTGGTTGATAAATTGCAAACGTGTGGCCCAAAAATTTGACAGTCCATTATGTGACGATCTTGTGTGTTGAAAAGAAAACAGCTTTTGGGTCAATAATGTGGTGGAGTAATGGGGCTTAACATGGGAAAAGAAACCAAATCCAGGCTGCAAATTCTCTACGGGCAGCGTGGACACGATTCACAATGTGGAAAAGTCGTGTTATGATTAATATTCTGGTAAAGAAAATAGAGGGTAAAAACGAGAGAGGGCGGTGATGAAGAAGCGTGAAGTACAGTTGGAGGAAGGAAGCCATTCACATAATTTCGAGGCTCCTCCCATGTGCTGCCTTCTGCTGTAAGCATATGTGTCGCAAATCCGGGAATATACTATTCCTCTCTCCAGCCTCCACCCCCTGCCACTCCTCCTGTAACTGTGCTTTCATTAGCATCTCATTAGTTTAATGACCCCCCTTTTTGACTTCACAAACCATACGCCAGACACACCGACTTGATTGAGCACGTGGCCTCAACTTTGTGAAACTCAAGTCCAAGATGATCACAAGATATGCAGAAAGACAACCGGTGTTGAAAAGGATCATCAATCCTACGACTTTTAACTTAATCCGCAACAGTAGAGGCGACGGTTTTATATTGTTGTTGGACTTGGAGACACATCCCTTCCCCTTCACGGGGTAGACTTGGCTCCCCCACATGTCAACTGCCCGGCACCCATATTTGTTGACGTCTTCTTCACTTCGTTTTCTTCGTTGGAATTCGCTCATCTCCCTCGCGTCGTAGAAATTCTGTTCCTTCAAGAAAGATTCCACGGCCTCGCTTCACTTCTCCATCACGAAAGCCGTTCATTGGGGCAAGCCAAGTTACCTTGCAATGCTTCTTCGTTCAAACCAACAGCCGTTGTCTATCACTGCTCATGAAACCCACCAAATTTAAAAAGCTAAAAACAAACCTCGTGTAGTGTTACCGGCTCCAAAGCCATTCACTGTTTCTGGCTCCATCAGTGGACAAATTAATTCCTTTTATGCCTTTAATTATTGCACACCAACTCAGAGGCAAAAGGGTAGGAATCTCTTCACCCTGTTTCACATCACTACATCCGC